CTTTCGCCAAGGCACTTTGAATTGGCAGAAATCAAAGACATAAGCTCGGCAGGCAGGATGAGTGGCTAATCTTTTCTTGTTAGGTGTGAACCACGCGAGACTACTACTGGGATTTTCGGCGACCGCCGGGACCCCGGCCCGAATGCACGAGCCAACAATCCGGCACGTGGCGAGGAGGGAGCGGTTTCCCGCCGAGGCCCTCTCGAAGCCCACCGGGTCCAGGTCGGGTCGCCCAAAAAGATCGGAGTGGGTTCGGTGCCGCCCGCGGGAGGCGACGCTCCACGTGGAGCAGGGAAAGGCCAGCCAAACTCCCCGGACCAGCTTGCTGCTGATCCACCCGGCGATCAGATCTACGACCACGGGATTGTTGAGGTTAAAAGCGGGGTTAAGTTTAGCATCGACCTCAATGACTCCCCAACCGCCACACTTGCGAAGACCGCGAGCGATGCCCCCAGCCCCCGAGAACAAATCAAGGATAACTTTGCCTTTGCGGGGGGCAGCGGCGGAGGCGGCCGAAAAGGCTTGAGACCATGCTCTGTGGATGGCGTCCCGGCTCAGGCGCGTCGCGGAGTCGAGGGTGTCGCCAGCCTTCCAGAATCCAGCGCCTCGGGCGGCGGCGGTCAGCCCCTTCGCCCTGGTGGCGCTCGGCAGCGCAGCCGCCCGGAGAAGAGGCCGGCGAGGTTGGCCTCGACCCACTCGCCGAACGCCTTGATCTCGGGGGGCAGCTTCTCGCACTCGGCCAGGTAGCGGGTCCCTTTGCGGTGCCGGCGCGTGCTGGACTCGCTCAGGTGCCTGAGCCGCTCCTGGACCGCTCCGAACTCCCTCACCTTGAACAGCGCGTCGTGGGAGGCGGCTCCGTGGCGGGCCTGGTGCGGGTGCACGTCCTCGAGCCCCGCCAGGCTGGCGCAAGCAGCGAAGTCCTGGCGGAACTTCGGGCCGGAGAACGGCCGCAGAGGCTTGTCCGCCTGGCTCCGCGACTCCAGGGCCTGCAGGGCGAAGCTCGCGCTCTGCGCGGCCTCCGACTCGAGCGCCATCCCCTCGTCGAAGTGGCCCGTCTTGCTTCGGTCGGGCAGCTCCTCGGGGAATAGCAAAATGGCCCACCGGTTGATCCGGCTCCGCCGAGCTGGCGCCACCAAGGACCCACCCACCATGCCAATCAAGTCGCTGGGCAACCTGAGGTACGCGTCCCAAGCGACGAGGAGGCCGAGGCAGAAGTCGAGCAAGCCGCAGAACACGCCGGCCCCGATGATCGCGAAAACCCCCTGCTTGGGAAGTGGCCTGCGGGTCTGGCCGGGAGCCATCTTCTTGAAACCCTTGAGCGCGGCTCGGCTGCCCTCCAGGGCCCCCGGCCGCTTCAAACCCTGGCTCGGGTGGGAGAAGAGGACCGCCGCCAAGGTCTTCTCGCCCTGGTCCCGATTCCAGCCGTCGAAGAACAAGTGGTCCAGATAGCTGGCGAGGGACCGATCTAGGTTGGCCACGGTGCTGATCCTCAGCTCCTCCCCCCGGCTCCAGTCCAGGAAGTCGGTGTAAGCCCGCTGGTGCTGCAGCTGTGTCCGGTGCCCCGCTCGAGACGTCTGCAGGAACGTCAGGCCCTCCGCCGCAGCCCTGGAAGCTGCGGGCAGATGGCGGCGGCGATGGGCCGCCCGACGAGCCTGCAGTGCGGAAGCTCGCGCCGTCCTCTTGGCCCGTGCGGTCCGCCCGCCGCGAACTGCCGCGGCTGCGGTGGGTCCCTGAGCCTGGACTGCTCGAGCGACTGGACGAGGTGGACGAGCTGGCGCGGCCGCCACCGCTGCCGCCGTTGTCGCCGATGGGCTCGACGTCGCACCGCGCCAGGCCGGCGGGGCGGGCCTCGGGATCGAGGCTGTCGCCGAGCCCGCAAAGCCCGGGCGGAGCTGCAAGCTGTCCGCGGGCCCGCTGCGCGACGGTCCGCTCGAGCTCCCGATCGAAAGCGGCGCCGGCCGAAAGGCTCGCGCCGGCCGCGCCTCCAGGCCTGGCCCAGGCCGCCGGAGCATCGCGGAACGCCGGCCCGCGCGGGTCGCGCCTCCAGGCGCCGGCGCGGGCCGAGAGGCTGCGAGAGGGATCGTCTCCAGGGTTCAACTCTGATGCAATCCATCGGGCCACGAATGAAGTGTTTGAGAGAATAGAAAGACACAATAACTCCTGACATGTTCGATTCAGCAGTGGGGATGTCGAGCGCCCCTTTCCCGTAGCTAAGACCGCAGACATGTTGTCGCACAGAAGCAGATGACGACGACCGAAGCTGCTGATGTTTCGTAGCTTGTGCCGGGCCCCCATCGCAAGGGCCCGCCCCTCCGCCCGCGTAATATTCTCCGACGAGGCGAACCGGCCGAACAAAACGGTGGACCAGGTGTCGAAATCCCCGATCTGCTCCCCATCGATGTGGAAGAAGTCGGTGACCACACGGCGGGCTCTCACTTGGGAGCTTCGAGGCTTGGAGGGGCCCTGAGGGCGCAGCCCGAGACTCTGCTCCCGGGCGCAGATAGCATCCTCGACGCAGTACCTCCACCTCTCCGCACGGCTGGCCACGGCTCGAACTGCCTCCAAGTCCCAAGCCCGCTCGCAGACGCCGAAACCCCCGAAGTCGAACTCGGTGGCCCCGGAAGCGTCGGAGGCCATCGCGCACGGGTCGAACGGCCTCTTGGTGTCGACAGCGGCGAACGGCAAAAGCGCCGCCGCGATCCGCAGCTCCCGAGCCACGCAACTCCAAAGACGCCACCGCTGCTCCCCGGCCATTTCACAAAAACGGAAAGCACTGCTGAGGATAGACAAAAGCTCCCGTTTCAACAGGAAGGCCCAGGTTAAATGGCCCAGGACCCGGCGCAACTGGACCCCGGTGCACCAGCCCTGACGGCAGAGCTCCAGGAGCCCCAAGCGGATTTTCCACAAGCGCCGGGTCGAAAGCGAAATGATTCCCGAGCTGCGTTCGAACGTGAGGCCCGTAAAAGACTGCTGTTCAGACGCCCCGACCATCCCCTTGCAAACCAGACCGCGGGATCCCAGGAGCTCGACGGCGGACGCGCACCCGTCCGAGCAGCACTTTTCGCTGGTCCCGAGAAAAGCGACCCCGTCGACATAGACGGCAGCGAGAGGCCCTTCCTCGAGGCCGGCGGCTGCCCGTCTGTCCTGGGCAAGTCTGGAGGGGGGGGGGGCCGGAGTCGAGAACAGCTTGTTCTACCATACACTGACAGAAGTATAAAGACCAAGACCAGCCCATGGGTAACGCGCGCAGGACGGGTGAGAGCTCCCCCACCCCGCGAAGCCCCCCAGAACTGCCCGGGCAAAGTGCCTCGAGGTGACGACAAGAGACAGGAGGGAGGACAAAATAATCTTCAATCCCTGCGGGCAGACCGATACGATAGAATGCATTGTCAACGTCTGCCTGGCACAAAGAGAGCTCGCATTGATCTGGCACATATAGAAAATTCCATGCACTAGCCGTGGGCAGCTGAGAATACTCGGGAGCGTTGAAAAACTCGTTGCTACCCCTAGTATCGAATATCAGTCTCTGCCAGGCGCCATCACTCTTCCACGCGAAGAACACCCCCAGGGTCGCGTCGAGACGGCCTTTCAGGTTCACCAAGCCGGCGGCCTGAAGGTCCAACGCGAACTGGGCGTAGGTACCCCTCGCACGTAGCCGACTGTCGACGTGAGGCTTGAATTTCTGCACTGCCTCCCGGCTGACACCGGGCCGCAAAAGATGCTGTCGCCACTCCTTCCAGAAGCTTAGAGCCGCGCCGCCGAGGCACCGGCCCCCCTCGGCCAGGACCCCGCCGGTCGGCAGCGAGACGAGGTCTCGCTGGTAAGGAGCCGTCTTCGCCGGGTCGCCGTGCCCGGGCCTGCTCCCGCACAGCTCACTGCAGGCTGCCGCGGGGCTCACTTCCGGGGCGCCGAGTCGCTCCCAACCACGTCGGAGATGCTCGACACCACGGACCTGAGCGAGAGAAAGTTGGTGCGAGACCTGGGCCTCGCCGTGGTTGTACAGAAGGTTGAGGGCAGTCACCGACTCGCGCACGCGCTCGTCGACGAGGGTCCGGCGGAGGGCCCGGCTGCGGACGCTGCGGCTGCAACGGCCAGCGCCAGGCGACTCGCGCGGGGCCGAGAGGGCGGCCAGGTTGATAGGCAGTAGCTCGCGAGAGACCACCATCCCAGCCGAGGGAGCCGGCAGAGCACGCCCCGAGGGCGGCCCAACCGGCGGGTGGCTCCTGTGGGCTACTTGCCCCCGCGGCCGCCACCGCGGCCGCCCCCGGCATCGCCCTCCTGCTGGCCGCCGCCGCCCCCGGCCGCGCCGCTGCCACGGCCCGCCTGGAGCCGCTTGAGCTCCGCCGCCTGCTGCTGGATCTTCTGCTGCAACGACGCCTTGTCGTCGCCACCCCTGCCGGCGCCGCCTCCGCCGCCGCCGCCACCCCCGCCGCGGGAGGAGATGGCGCGCTCCTCGCGGAGCTTGCGCCGCTCCTTGAGCACACCAGCCTCGCGGTGGAGCTCGGCCGTGATGTAGTCCTGGAGCTCCGGCGCGATCATCAGGTGGCCGCGCGTCTCCGAGGCCCCCATCATGAGGTAGTCTTCCTCAGCCCCGTCGACGCCGTCGGGGCGGCCAATGACCCTCTCGCGGTAGCGGTGCTCGATGAGCTGTGCCCGCCTCGCGATGTACTCGAACGCGGCCAGCTCGCTGACGTTCAGCTGGTCGAACGACATGGCGACGTCGAACACGCGCATGCATAGTTCGTGCTCGGCGACGCCGGGGTCGCTGGCAGTGAGCCCGGTCTCGTGCTTCCACTTCGTGTGGCGCGACCGTGGATGAGCATCTTGGTCGGCCAGGAAGCGCAGGCACCAGCGAGTGGTCCGAGGACCGAGCACTGGCCAGAAGGGCCAAGTCGTCTCGCTGAGGAGGTTGACGGCGTCCTTGAACAATCGGCGGCGCTCGCCGTCGGAGTTGACCTTGATGCTGAGGACCCGGGCGTCCAGGTCCCCGTCGCCGCCGAGCTCGTCGCGCCTCACCACTCTCACGGCGTGCGCCTCCGACCCCATCAGCACGAGCCCGAAACCCCCAGCGACCGCGTAGCCGTCGGTCGCGCCGCCGAGAAACTCTGTGCGCACGGTGTCCGAGCCCGTCGTGGCCAGGATCTCCCAACAGTGCCCATCAGGCGGCTTAGGCAGGGCCCCGTCCGAGACCTCCATGTTAGTCGGAATCCTCGCTGCTCCATCCCCTGATGGCGCTCCCGCCACTGGCCACGGCTGCTTCCCACGGAGGCGCCGGTTCAATTGACCGCTGGAGAGCGCCTCGGGGCGGCAGAACTGCAAGGCTGCCACGTAGTCGAGCGGCGTCGGCTCCCAGTCGGCGCCGTGAACCGAGTGCCTCCTCCGAAGCTTCTGGCCTTCGGAGGTGGAGTCGATGGGCTGGCCCGTCTTGTCGAGCACCACCACTCCAGCCAGCGGCCCGGCCGCCAAGAGATGCGGGTAGATGTCCCCGTCTGGTGTGAGGCAGTAGAAGCACTTCGTCACTAGAGCTGGAGGTACTGGGTCGCCGACGACGTCGGTGTACTCCCCGGGCGGGCACTCGCAAATGATGATCCTCACCTGCCAATCCCGACCGGCTTGCCAAAGGACGCCGACACGTTGACCAGCCTCCATAGCCCACGGCACAGCAGCAGCACCCGGCGAGCACGCCGACCAGGAAGCAGATGGCGCACAGGCCTATGAGGAAGCCCCGCAGGCTGCCGGTGAGCTCCGAAAGAAGAAGGCACCCGCCGGCGTCCTCGTGCCCAGGCACCAGCACCTGGACCGCCTGGGGCAAATGACTGATGGCGAATGGCAGAAGTTTGGCTCGAAGGAAGGAAATGACCCCCATGCGCTGCCCTCTGAATTAGACTTGAGTCGCAACACCAGCGGCCGACAAACACGCGCGCCCAGCAATGTACTTCGGAGAAGCTCGCTCGGAGGAGGAGGAGGAGGAGGAGGAGGAGGGAGGAGGAGGAGGCGGAGAAGGAGGAGGAGGAGGAGAAGGAGGAGGAGGAGGAGGAGGAGGAGGAGGAGGAGAAGGAGGAGGAGGAGGAGGAGGGATCGAGGGAGGTCTGCGACCCCGCGCCTTCGCCGCCTCTGGCGCCCTGGGGGCGCTCCGCGCCCCGGGGTGTTGAGACCGCCCCAGACTGACTCGGGGGGGGCTGTTGAGATCAGCTGGGGCGACTCCGGGGGCCTGTTGAGGCCAACTGGGACTACGTGGGGGGGCTGTCTGTGCACCAACCTGTCTCCTGTTAGAGTTATCACGCCCCTCTTGCCCGCTCCCAATCCCTCCCAATCAGTGGGATGAGCTCGCGATTCGCCCATCTCCGACGTCGTGATCTGTGCGACAACATCGGCCCCAAGAGGTCTGGACCCTGTCTTCGGGGCCAATTTTGCCTGCCGAGTTGCTTTTCGGGTGTCCCCGGGCCCAGTGAGGGCCCCCGAAAGCCGATAACGATCCATCCCCCGCCGACATAATTTTTCCACGACCGCAATATTTTCCTACGCCCGAGTAAATTCGCAATTTCTGCTCAATCAATCTGGGCCGCCCATCAGATCTCGCACCGCGAACAAAGAAATATCGCGAACGCCGCGACAGAAAACCCCAACTCCCTCGAGCCGAAACGATCCGCAAACGTGTCGGGGCTCGAGGATGGACGACCACGCCAAGTGTGACAAAACTGCGACGCCTGGATCTCAGGGGATGAAGGGGCTCATGCGGCGAGGAGGAGACTACTTAAGGAGGACGAGGGAGGAGGGAGGGAAGGAGGAATGGAGGAAGGAAGTAGGGAGGAAGTGGGGAGGAAAGGGGGAGAAGCAGGATAGGCGAAGGAGGAGGAGGAAGAGGAGGAGGAGGAGGAGGAGGAGGAGGAGGAGAGGAGGAGGAGGAGGAAGAAGAGGAGGAGGAGGAGGAAGAGGAGGAGGAGGAGGAAGAGGAGGAGGAAGAGGAGGAGGAGGATGAGGGGAAGGATGAAGAGCATGAAAGGAGGATGAGGAAGAGGATGAGGATGAGGAGGAGGAGGAGAAGGCGAATGAGGAGGAGGAGGAGGAGGAGGAAGGGATGAGGAGGATGAGGAGGAGGAAGAGGAGGATAATGAGGAGCAGGAGGAGGAGGAGGAGAAGGAGGAGGAGGCCTTCTCCTCCTCCTCCTCCTCCTGCTCCTCCTCATCATCATCAGCAGCATCATCATCAGCATCATCATCATCAGCATCCTTGTCCTCCTCCTCCTGCTCCTCCCAGGAGACACGCTAGCAGGAGGGGAACAGAGAATCTGTGTATTTCGCAAGAAAACATGACCGCCACCGGATCGGCGGCACTGGTCGGAGGCCATTCCAATATCGTGAACGCCGCAACAAAAAGCAACGACCTCCTCGAGCCGAAACGATCCGCAAAGGTCTCGGGGATCGAGGATGGACGACAACGCAAAGTCTGACAAAACTGCGACGCCTGGATCTCAGGGGATGAAGGGGCTCATGCGGCGAGGAGGAGACTACTTAAGGAGGACGAGGGAGGAGGGAGGGAAGGAGGAATGGAGGAAGGAAGTAGGGAGGAAGTGGGGAGGAAAGGGGGAGAAGCAGGATAGGCGAAGGAGGAGGAGGAGGAAGAGGAGGAGGAGGAGGAGGAGGAGGAGGAGGAGGAGGAGGAGGAAGGAAAGGAGGAGAGGAAGAGGAGGAGGAAGAGGAGGAGGAGAAGATGAAGAGCATGAAAGGAGGATGGGGGAGGAAGCGTAGAGGAGAACTAAGGAGGACGAGGGAGGAGGGAGGGAAGGAGGGATGGGAAGGAAGTAGGGAGGAAGTGGGAAGGGCAAATGAGCAGGATAGGGGAAGGGGAAGGAGGAGGACGAGGAGGAGGAGGAGGAGGAGGAGGAGAGGAGGAGGAGGAGCAGGAGGAGAGGGAGGAGAGGAAGGAGAAGGAGGAGAAAAGAGGAGGAGAAAGAGGATAGGAGGAGAGGAGGAGGAGGAGAGGAGGAGGAGGATGAGGAGCCTAAGGAGGAGGAGGAGGAGGAGGAGGAGGAGGAGGAGGAGGAGGAGGAGGAGAGAGGAGGAGGAGGAGAGAGGAGAGGAGAGGAGGAGGAGAGGAGGAGGGAGGAGGAGGGAGGAGGAAGAGGAGCCTAAGGAGGTGGAGGAGGAGGAGGAAGAGGAATAGGAAGAGGATGATGCTGATGATGATGATGATGAGGAGGAGGAGGAGAGGAGGAGGAGGAGGAGGAGGAGGAGGAGGAGAGGAGGAGAGGATGATGAGGAGGAGGACGAGGAGGAGGGCGAGGAGGAGGAGGAAGAGAGGGAAGGAAGCAGGAGGAGGCGGAGGAGGAGGAGGAGGAGAAGGACGAGGAGGACGAGGAGGAGGAGGAGGTGGAGGAGGAAGAGAGGGAAGGAAGAGAGGGAAGGAAGAGAGGGAAGGAAACAGGAGGATGAGAAGTATGAGGGGGAGGAGGAGGGGGAGGAGGAGAAGGAGGAGGAGGAGGTGGAGGAGGAGGAGGAGGACCAGTCTCAACCCAAGAGTCATCAACGATGTTGGAATGAACCCTCTCTCCAAGCTCCCTCTTCATAGGCCCCCACAACGGTTCATTGAGGGAACTGCCTCGTTGGAAGACAACCGGGTGAAGATTCGTTCTCGGGATTTCAACGCCACGGATCAACCTGACTTCGGGGATCTGCTGACCCGGGTCAATCCAGACCCGGGTCAGTCGGGCGATACAAGATCCTGTAGGATCCTGTAGGATCCTACAAGATCCTGCGCCCAAACGTGGGCCAGTGCGAAAGATCCTGCAGGATCCTGCAAAATCCTGCGCCCAGACCCAGGTCACTGCGACCCTGGCCCTGGAAGATCCTGCAAGATCTGGCGCTCTGGCTGGCCCCCGTTTGCATTGACACCCGTCGCGAAGCTCCCGATGACTGCTGCGTCTTGGCGATCCGGAATCGTGCCAGAACGCCATTTTCGGGACTTCAACACCGCGAATCAACATAACTGTTGCACCCGCATAATCCCGAATCCTTCCAAAGCACAATTTCTGGTACGTTGACCATGGAAATCCGTGAAACTCTTGCAAATGTTTAAAGCGAATATGCGCGGCGCGAAGGCGAGAACCACATTTTGAAAAGGAACCGCCCTCAATCCGTGAAGCTCTTGCCTACTCTCAAAACAAATGTGGGCGGCGCTAAGGCGAGAGCTACATTTTGAAAACCACCCGCCCTCCATATGAGAAGCTGTTGTCACTTTTCCAGCTCCACAATCATAACTGGTGAGGAAGTCTGAGGCGAAACGCCCGGACCGCCCTAAAAACTGGCCGCGGGGTGCGAAAGGGAGAAATTATTTATAAGGAAAAGGAAGTGAAGAGGAAAGGAGAAGGATAGATTGACCGCCCGCGCCCCAAAAAGGTTCTCGTCTCCTGCACAACCGCTCCGCCTCCCGACACGCCGCGGACACCGCACCCGCGCGCCCGGCGACGCCCTCCAGCGCCGGCAGCTGCTGGCGGACGCTGGCACGGGCCTCCTCGGCCAGCCTGTCAGCTCGGAGGGGCGGAGTCGTCGTCGTCCTCCTCCTCCTGCTCCTCTTCCTTCCTCCTCCTCATCCTCCTCCTTCTTCCTCTTACTCTTCCTCTTTCTCCTCCTCCTCCTCCTCCTCCTCCTCCTTCTCCTCCTCCTCCTCCCCCTCCTCGTCCTCCTCCTGCCTCCTCCTTCTCCTCCTCCTCCTCCCCCCCTCCCTCTCGGACGCCCCCTCTCCCCCGTCCCCTCGCCCCCACGCTTTTTCTTCCTCTTCTTCCTCCTCCTCCACCTTCCCTTCCTCGGCCAACCTCGCGGCTCGGAAAGTTGACACCGTCATCCCCAGACGTCCTCTTGTTGTGGATGAATCTCAGCGGAAAGCTCTTGGTCCAAGACCGTGAACAACTGTTCTGGATGAGAGCTGCGGCCCCAACGAATCGATCTGGCTCAAGGAATACTGCAGAAAGATAAGGTCTGGGACGCTGTTCGTTTTTTTTCCC